TTGCTCCCATCATCAAATATTTGAAATGTGTTGGCATAAAGTTGTTCATTGCAGTCTCTTATTATGTTTTTGGTATCTGTAAAAAAAAAATCTACTTTTGTAGCAACTTTCAAATATACAAGACAGTATTGTTAACCATAGTCACCATGGTGTACACAGCATCCCCAGAACTTACTTATAAGTGGAAGTTTGTACCCTTTCACCACCTTCGCCCATCTGTCCACCCCTGTCTTGCCACCTCTGTTAATCACCAATCTGTTCTCTGTATCTATGAATTTGTTTTTTGTTTAGCTTCCATGTATAAGTAAGATCATGCACTGTTTGCCTATCTCTATCTGACTTATTTCACTGACAACCATTTTTAATATTTGAAAATATAGGTTCTTTCTGAGCTATCCAGTAATTTGAATGAATGACATCTAATCACATCTGCTTGCAAACACATTTTTCTACAATCTTCTTAAAGTTTTCAATTCTGGAATGATTCAGTTTTGGTTTGATGAGGGCAATAGATATTATTCTGAGATTTTTTTTTGAGTGGTAATTTTGGCAATCATTGGATGCTTTTAATATGTGTTGGTTGGATTTACCCATTCTTTAAACAAGGGGGAAAAAAAACACCCACCAAGAAAAAAAATCCACCCACCTCTCCAATTTTTATCTGACTTTATATATGAAATATATTTCATTACTTTGTCCTATTTGAACTATTTCATGATTTTCTTTGAATTATCCCACTAATCAATATGTTGAAATATTTGGATTCTCTATCAATATTGATTTTAGCTTCTTTTGATAATCTCCTCCTACCTTTGTCCAAAGTTTTAATGAAAATATTGATGAGATCACAATTTTTTAAAACCAGTGTTTAAATAGCAGATATACTTCTTACTTTTTTTAAAAAGATTTTATTTATTTATTTGGCAGAGAGATAGAGAACACAAGTAGGCAGAGGGAGAGGGAGAAGCAGGCTCCCTGCAGAGCAGGGAGCCCGATGCGGGACTCAATCCCAGGACTCTGGGATCATGACCTGAGCCGAAGGCAGCCGCTTAACCTACTGAGCCACCCAGGCGCCCTAGCAGATATACTTCTTAAAACTGAACTTTGGAGAATATCTTTTTGATCATTCTGAGTTGTTTTTCTTATTGTTCATGAAAACCTTATAAAAACAAGAAAGATACTCACAGAGATACTTATTGAGGTACTTTAGCAGGACTGTATTTACTGGGACTCAAAACCAAGCCTTCTGGTTTATAACTTTTAAAACTCAATTTATTAACATTAAAAAATATAAAAATAAGGGAATTTAGAGCTATTTTAAGTGTTGGTCAAATGGAATATAATTTACACTGAATTTTTGATATTTAGAAGTAGTTGGAAGATTAAAATTTGTAAAATTTCTTTCATTGTAAAGAAAGTTGATCTCATATTAAATGTCCATACTGCAATAAAAATGCCTTTCCTATAACCATAAGAATTTGAAAACTGAATACATTCACCTTTAGGTGAAAATTAGTCATCTATGGGATTGTTACAATGGGGATGGATTATCAGGCTCAGAGTTATTTTAGAAAAAACATAGTATTTGGATGAAGCTTGAACTCAGTGACCTCCAAGTATTATTTTAATGCTAAGATACTTGATTCTGTAATTATGTATAAGTGTATGTAAACAAATAATTACTAAATATTCCCTTTTTCTAAGTGAGGCCCTTAGAAACAGTTTTAATTTTGTTGGTGACCAGTAAAACTGAAATTGTTAATAGAAAATTGAATTGAAATAGAAATTGAATTCTTAATGAAAAAAAATACCTTTTACTAGAAAAACCGAAGTCTGAACTTATACTATAGAAAATACATCATATATATTATGTATTTTTCCCTCCCTGGAATGCACTGACTATAAGATCCAGTTAAAGTAAGATAGTAATTAACTTACTTTACACTGAGGCAATTCCTTGGGGGACAGCTGCACCAAACCCCATGCTCTGAAATACCAACCACCCTGAACAGACTTGCTCCCTTGTGCCTGGGCAACACTGGCTGCCCTTTGGGTGCCATGGGCTTTGTGGTAGGTTAAAATGTCCCTGGAGCCTATGCCCCCTGTTCAGCCTTGTAGAAATGCATCTCAGTCCTCTCTTTGCCTGAAAATTTCTAAGCTACCAGCTTGACTCTAAAACAAAGATGCTCAGTCTTAGGATTAATGAGATTTGTTCCTACTGACCAAGAGCAGCTCTGGTGAGTGAAACTTGTTCATATTTTCTGAAATTTATAGCCACCCTCCTGAGGAGCATAGTCCATGATTTCCTCCCAAAACTCATTCACTTTTTGAACTACGTTCATCATGTTTCTAAACCTATGAATCCTCCTCAATAGCTCCAGCAAACCCACAAATGGCCACCAAAATGTAAATTCAATGTGCTTTGTTGTTATTTTAAATTTCCTTTCTTAAATAAATGACACGATTATAGTTTCTTCTTCTAAAACATCTCTCTTCCACTGGCTCTGTGATACCACTCTTCCCTGCTAGTTTTCTCCTTCTTCTGTGAATATTCTTTCTCATTCTCTTTGGGCTAGTTCCTCTCATGCATATCTCTTGAAATTTGATGGTATCTAAATATCATCTTCGGTCCTCTTTTCTGTCTTTTTTTCCCCTAAAAATATTCTTGTAAGTGCCATTTAAAGGAGTCAGGTTAACTGCTTTTCTACATGATTTGCACACTTTTACTGAACTGGTGGTGCTTTAGGTACCACCCTAGGACTTCTGAGTTCCAGATCCTCATATATGACCTCAAGGTCAGCGCACAGTCACCTCAGACTGGGTCTCTCTCATTAGAGTCATCTCCTCTCCCAACCATCTCCCTGTTTCTGTCATCTGTCTTCCTCTCTGCACATCCACCAGCCATAAGGATTTTATCTGCTCATTTTCTCTTGTAATTGTTACCTCTAGTTTTCACACCTATGGATTAGTTCAAACCATCAATATCTCTGGCAATATTTCATCCTTCAGGTTTGGGTTTGTTTTTTGGGGGGTGGTTTAAAAGATTTTTATGTATTTATTATTTGACAGAGAGAGATAGTGAGAGAGGGAACACGAGCAGGAGGAGTGTGAGAGGGAGAAGCAGGCTGCCTGCTGAGCAGGGAGCTTGATGTGGGGCTCAATCCCAGGACCCTGGGATCATGACCTGAGCTGAAAGCAGACGCTTAATGACTGAGCCACCCAGGCACCCCTCATCCTTCAGTTTTATGTCCTTCCAATCCAATGTCTGTGCTGTTGCCAGGTGTTTCCTAAAACTTAGTTTCAGTGAGCTCTCAAAATAAATGACAGCAAAACAAAAAGCTACTAGCTCAGTGATTTTCAACCTCTTTCCATTGGTTAGGGATTCATCAATGGAATAAATCACATCTGATGGAGTAACTCAAGTAATTTGATAGTACTGTGTAGAATTGAAATCAATCATGTATATACCCAGTTAAGTAAATATTTCTTAGTGCCGCTGTGTTAGGTTTCATTGCCAAAGGTGGAGAAATGGACAGAGATGGTGAAGGAATTGCCTCATGGTGAAGAAACTCAGTGCAAATGGACTGACCTTTCAACAAGTCTACAGATTTTTAAAAAGAAGTAGAAATCAGTAGAGTAATTCTGACACGCAGAATAATTTTGTCATTCTACAGTATCCCATTTAACATAAAGAGTGACACCAGCCAACCCCCCTAACAATTATGTTACATGTGGTATTAAGGTTTTGTTTGGTTGGTTGGTTGATTATTTTAAGAAATGGGCACTAACTATCTGATATATTTCAAGTCCTAGAGAAAAAGAATAAATAATTGTTTATTCTTATTGGAAAAGTCACAATAGAGATAATACTAGAAAGGCATATACTCTACCATTTAGCATTTTGCCTACAACATAGTAAGAAATAAATGCATTTTAGAAAACCTCATTATTTGTTCAAATGAACTTGATTGAACATATCTGAATCCAAATCATCCTAAGGTTTTAAAAATTAAAAGGAGAAGGTATCATCAAACAGTTGTGAGATATATCAAGTTCCAAACCTCAGGACTCAGTGCTTAGCATCAGTGGTGTCTGCATGTTACAATTTTGAGGTTTATGTCACTGTTCAAGCTTTCCCTGGGAAGTTCATTACAACCAAATTTCGTTATTTTAAAAACGTTGAGTGCCTTTCAGAGGCGAACATTGCCCCTACATCTGGACTGTTCCTAGATCCATTTACAAAATGGTACCAACAACCTAATATTAGATGGTTAATGAAGGAAGTTTTACTACATCATTGTAATCCTAAGGTATTGTGTATAAGATGTAATAATACTAGTGTATTGGCACAATCCTCAATGAATTTGTTGAATGGAAAGACTTCATTGTCTTCATCAATTTCTCACCTTTGACAACCCAAACTCTGCTCCAGAAAATTCTGTTGACTTTTTTCGACCTATGTGAAGCTATTGATCACATTTAGGGGTTATGTTTTTGAATAATAGGGAAAGATTTTTCCTTTTTTTTTATTATGTTATGTTAGTCACCATACAGTACTTCATTAGTTTTTGATGTAGTATTCCATGATTCATTATTTGTGTATAACACCCAGTAGTAAAGATTTTTCTAAGTTAAATGTTATCTAATCACTATGGGGATAAGTTTGTCTTGATTTCCATAGCTCTATGCTGAGTGCACTATTCCTTTTTTTTCTTTTTAAGATTTTTTATTTATTTGTCAGACAGAGAGAGCACAAGCAGGGGGAGCAGCAGAGGCAGAGGGAGAAGCAGGCTCCTCACTGGGCAAGGAGCCCGATGCAGGACTCGATCCCAGGACCCTGGGATCATGACCTGAGCTGAAGGCAGACGCTTAATGACTGAGCCACCCAGGTGTCCCCTGAGTGCACTATTCCTTGACATACAGATATACTAAATATCATACATTCTTTCCTACTGTCGTTTGGCTCCCCAAAGTCATACTTGCTATCTTCAGTTGTGACCATGGCCAACTTGACCTCCATGAGTGGATTCCTCCTCATGGGGTTTTCTGATAACCATGAGTTTCAGATTTTACTTGCATTGCTGTTTTTGGTGACATACCTGTTGGCCTTGACAGGCAACCTCCTCATTATCTCTGTAACCGGCTTGGACCATCCCCTCCAGTCCCCTATGTATTATTTCTTGAAGCACCTCTCTCTTCTGGACCTCTGCTTCATCTCTGTCACAGTTCCCCAGTCCATCACAAATTCACTTATGAACAATGGTTACATATCCTGTGGCCAGTGCATTCTTCAGGTGTTCTTCTTCATAGTTCTGGCCTCATCTGGAGTTGCCATCCTCACAGTGATGTCTTATGACCGGTATGTCACCATCTGTCGGCCCCTGCAGTATGAGACCATTATGAACAACTATGCTTGTAGGCATGCAGTGACAGCTGTGTGGCTTGCTGGGGGCCTCTCTGGGCTCATGCATAAAGCTGTGAACTTCTCCATACCTCTCTGTGGAGAGAGAGTCATTCACCAATTCTTCTGTGATATTCCTCAGCGCTGAAACTAGCTTGTTCTCATGAATTCATCAATGAGATTGCAGTGGCTGCCTTCACAACCTCAGCAGCATTCATCTGCTTGGTCTCCATTGTGCTCTCCTATGTTCACATCTTCTCTACTGTGCTGAAGATCCCATCAGCCGAGGGCCAGACCAAAGTCTTCACCACCTGCTTACCACATCTGTTTGTAGTCACCTTCTTCCTCTCCACTGCAGGCTTTGAGTTTCTGCACCCCCCTTCCAACTCCCAATCAGCTATGGATCTCATGTTCTCCATATTCTATACGGTGATACCACCAACACTCAATCCAGCTATCTACAGTTTACGGAATGAAGCCATGAAGGCAGCTCTGAGGAAGGTGCTATCAAAAGGAGAATTTGCCCAGAGAAAGATGTATTTAAAAGCCATTTTTAAATTCTAAAGAACCATAAATATAAAAGGTACTGTCATTACATTCATCTTGTAAGAGGGTAGGTCTGATTTCCTCCCAGAACTCCCTTCCAACCTATCTATTCTTCTCAAACCTGATTCATCAAAATTTAAGATATTATGCTTCTAAGGATAGTGACTTTACTTCCTCCAATTAAAGTGTTATTTTAAGGCATCTTTTAGGATTTTTGTGTGTGTGCGTGAGAAAAGGTAATGAGTTTAGGTTTTGGCCAGTATAATTTAAAGTTGATTTTTAACAAAGAGTTTCCAGACTGTGGTCAGGCAGGCTGACTGTGACTATGAGAGCACATTCTAGTATGTATGTATGCTTTCCAGTGGGCCTCCAAGTTTCTTACCTATATATATATTTTTTAATTTTATTATGTTATGTTAGTCACCATACAATACATCATTGGTTTTTGATGTGGTGATCCACGATCCACTGTTTTCGTATAACACCCAGTGCTCCATGCAGTACGTGCCCTCCTTAATACCCATCACAGGGCTAACCAATCCCCCCCCCACTCTAAAACCCTCTTTGTTTCTTAGAGTCCATAGTCTCTCGTGGTTCGTCTCCCCCTCAGATTTCCCCCCTTTCATTTTTCCCTTCCTTCTTCTAATGTCCTCCATGTTACTCCTTATGTTCCACAAATAAGTGAAACCATATGATAATTGACATTCTGTGCTTGACTTATTTCACTTAGCATAATCTCCTCCAGTCCCATCCATGTTGATGTAAAAGTTGGATATTCATCTTTTCTGATGGCTGAGTAATATTCCATTATATATATGGACCACATCTTCTTTATCCATTCATCTGTTGAAGGGCATCTCGGCTCTTTCCACAGTCTGGCTATTACAGACATTGCTTCTATGAACATTGGGGTGCATATGGCCCTTCTTTCCACTACATCTGTGTCTTTAGGGTAAATACCCAGGAGTGCAATGGCTGGGTCATAGGGTAGCTCTATTTTTAAATTTTTGAGGAACCTCCACCCTGTTTTCCAAAGTGGCTGTACCAACTTGCATTCCCACCAACAGTGTAAGAGGGTTCCCCTTTCTCCACAACCTCTCCAACATTTGTTGTTTCTTTCCCTGTCCATTTATGCCATTCTAACTGGTGTAAGGTGGTATCTAAGTGTGGTTTTAATTTGGATTTCCCTGATGGCTAATGATGATGAACACTTTTTCATGTGTCTGTTAGCCATTTGTATGTCTTCTTCAGAGAAGTGTCTGTTCATCTCTTCTGCCCACTTTTTGACTTGGTTATTTGTTTTTTGGGTGTTGAGTTTGAGAAGTTCTTTATACATTTTCGGTACCAGCCCTTTATCTGTAGTGTCATTTGCAAATATCTTCTCCCATTCTGTGGGTTCCCTCTCTGTTTTGTTGACTGTTTCCTTTGCTGTGCAGAAGCTTTTTATCTTGATGAAGTCCCAAAAGTTCATTTTTGCTTTTGTTTCACTAGCTTTTGGAGGTGTATCTTGAAAGAAGTTGCTGTGGGCGATGTCAAAGAGGTTACTGCCTATGTTCTCCTCTAGGATTTTGATGGATTCCTGTCTCACATTGAGGTCTTTTTATCCATTTTGAGTTTATCCTTGTGAGTGGTGTTAGAGAATGGTCGAGTTTCATTCTTCTGCATGTGGCTGTCCAATATTCCCAGCACCATTTATTGAAGAGACTGTCTTTTTTCCATTGCATGTTTTTTCCTGCTTTGTCAAAGATTATTTGACCACAGAGTTGAGGGTCCATATCTGGATTCTCTATTCTGTTCCATTGGTCTGTATGTCTGTTTTTGTGCCAGTACCATGCTGTCTTGGTGATCACAGCTTTGTAATATAGCTTGAAATTGGGCAACGTGATGCCCCAGCTTTGTTTTTCTTTTTCAACATTTCCTTGGCGATTTGGGGTCTTTTCTGATTCCATACAAATTTTAAGATTGTTTGTTCCAGCACGTTGAAAAATGTCATTGGGATTTTGATTGGGATGGCATTGAAGGTATAGATTGCTCTGGATAGCATAGACATTTTAACAGTGTTTATTCTTCTGATCCATGAGCATGGAATATTTGTCCATCTTTTTGTGTCTTCTTCAATTTCTTTCATGAGTTTTTTGTAGTTCCTAGAGTATAAATCCTTTACCTCTTTGGTTAGGTTTATTCCGAGGTATCTTATGGTTTATGGTGCTATTGTAAATGGCATCGTTTCTTTAATTTCTCTTTCTACAGTTGCGTTGCTAGTGTATAAGAAAGCAACTGATTTCAGTGCATTGATTTTGTATCCTGCCACATTACTGAATTGCTGGATGAGTTCTAGTAATTTGGGGGTGGAGTCTTTTGGGTTTTCCACATAAAATATCATGTCGTCTGCAAAAAGACAGAGTTTGACTTCTTCTTGCCATTTGAATACTTTCTATTTCTTTGGTGTTGTCTAATTGCTGCTGCTAGGACTTCTAGTACTATGCTGAACAACAGTGGTGAGAGTGGGCACCCTTGACGTGTTCCTGATCTTAAGGGAAAGGCTCTCAGCTTTTCCCCATTGAGGATGATATTCGCTGTGGGTTTTTCATAGATGGATTTTATGAACTTGAGCAATGTTCCCTCTATCCCTATACTCTGGAGAGTTTTAATCAGGAAAAGATGTTGTATTTTGTCAAATGCTGTTTCTGCATCAATTGAGAGGACCATATGGTTCTTCTCCCTCCTCTTATTACTGTGTTCTATCACATTGATTGATTTGCAAATGTTGAACCACCCTTGCATCCCGGGGATAAATCCCACTTGGTCGTGGTTGATGATCCTTTTAATGTATTGTTGGATCCTATTAGCTAGGATGTTGTTGAGGATTTTGGAATCCATATTCATCAGGGATATCGGTCTGAAATTCTCCTTTTTGATGGGGTCTTTGCCTGGTTTGGGGATTAAGGTAATGCTGGCCTCATAGAATGAGTTTGGAAGTTTTCCTTCTGTTTCTATTTTTTGAAACAGCTTCAGTAGAATAGGTATTATTTCTTCTTTGAATGTTTGATAGATTTCCCCAGGGAATCCCTCAGGCCCTGGACTCTTGTTTTTGGGGAGGTTTTTGATCACTGCTTCAATCTCGTTACTGGTTATTGGCCTATTCAGGTTGTCAATTTCTTCCTGTTTCAGTCTTGGCAGCTTATAGGTTTCCAGGAAGGCCTCCATTGCATCCAGATTGCTCAGTTTATTGGCATATAGTTGTTGATAATAATTTCTAATAATTGTTTCTATTTCCTTGGTGTTAGTCGTAATCTCTCCCCTTTCATTCATAATTTTATTAATTTGGGTCCCTTCTCTCTTCTTTTGGATAAGTCTGGCCAGTGGTTTATCAATCTTATTAATTCTTTCAAAGAACCAACTTCTAGTTTCATTGATCTGATCTACTGTGTTTCTGGTTTCTAATTCATTGATTTCTGCTCTAATTTTAATTATTTCTCTTCTAATGCATGGCTTAGGCCTCGTTTGTTGCTTTTTCTCTAGTTCTTTAAGGTGTAGAGTTAGTTGGTGTATTCGGGGTTTTTCTATTTTTTTGAGTGAGGCTTGGATGGCTATGTATTTCCCCCTTAGGACCACCTTTGCAATATCCCATAGGTTTTGGACCGATGTGTTTTCATTCTCATTGATTTCCATGAATTGTTTAAGTTCTTCTTTGATTTCTTGGTTGACCCAAACGTTCTCGAGCAGAGTGGTCTTTAGCTTCCAAGTGTTTGAATTTCTGCCAATTTTTTTCTTGTGATTGAGTTCCAGTTTTAGAGTATTGTGGTCTGAGAATATGCAGGGAATAATCTCAATCTTTTGGTATCAGTTGAGACCTGATTTGTGACCCAGTATATGGTCTATTCTGGGGAAAGTTCCATGTGCGCTCGAGAAGAATGAGTATTCTGTTGTTTTAGGGTGGAATGTTCTGTAAATATCTATGAGGTCCATCTGGTCCAATGTATCATTCAAAGCTCTTGTTTCCTTGTTGATTTTCTGCTTAGATGATCTGTCCATTGCTGAGAGTGCAGTATTGAGGTCTCCTACAATTAACGTATTGTTATCAATATGACTCTTTATTTTGGTTAACAGTTGGCTTATGTAGATGGCTGCTCCCATGTTGGGGGCATAGATATTTACAATTGTTAGATCTTCTTGTTGGATAGACCCTTTAAGAATGATATAGTGTCCTTCTGTGTCTCTTATTACAGACTTTAGCTTAAAATCTAATTTGTCTGATATAAGAATGCTACCCCAGCTTTCTTTTGAGGTCCGCTGGCATGGAAGATGGATCTCCGTCCCTTCACTTTCAGTCTGGATGTATCTTTAGGTTTAAAATGAGTCTCTTGTAGACAGCATATGGATGGGTCCTGTCTTTTTATCCAATCTGCAACCCTGTGCCATTTTATGGGAACGTTTAGGCCATTCACGTTGAGAGTGATTACTGAAAGATAAGAATTAATTGTCATCATGTTGCCTGTGAAGACGTTGTTTTTATAGATTGTCCTTGTAAATTTCTGTTGTAGATCACTCTTGGGGTCTTTCTCCTTTTATAGAACCCCCCTTAGTATTTCTTGCAGGGCCAGCTTAGTGGTCACATATTCTTTCAGCTTCTGCCGGTCGTGGAAGCTGTGTATCTCTCCATCCATTCTAAATGAAAGCCTTGCCAGATAAAGTATTCTTGGCTGCATGTTCTTCTCATTTAGTACCCTGAATATGTCTTGCCAGGCCTTTCTGGCTTGCCAGGTCTCTGTGGATAGGTCTGACGTTATTCTGATGTTCCTCCCTCTGTACGTAAGGAATCTCTTCCCCCAAACTGCCCTTAGGGTGCTTTCCTTGGTTCTAAAATTTGCAAGTTTTATTATTACATGCCGGGGTGTTGGCCTGTTTTCCTTGATCTTAGGAAGGGTCCTCTCTGCCTCTAGGACTGTTTCATTCCCCAGATTAGGGAAGTTCTCAGCTATGAGTTTCTCAAATACATCTTCTAGTCCTCTCTCTCT